TACATCTACTCTAATCGGTTGCAATGGTTCACATGGTGTCTGTTCACCAATAGACACATCCACTCTAATAGGTTGTAATGGTTCACATGGTATCTATTCACTAATAGACACATCCACTTCAATAGGTTGCAATGGTTCACATGAATAGTTATGTCTGTTGGTTTTGAGTTACAACCTTTTAGAAACAGATGCAACTCTTTGAAAAACAGATGCAATCCTGTAGAAATAGATGCAACCCTTTGAAAAAAAATCTAACTTTTAATTTAAATTTAAAAACTAACCACCCATTTAAATAAGCCCAGCCCAAAATTAAAGGCCCAATCCAAGATTCTATTTAGTAAAAAGAATAATTGGACTTTACAATTAGGCCCAAGCCCAAGCCCAAGCCCAAGCCCAAGCTTGGTTTATTTAAATTTCAATTAGTTTCAACATTTTTTCCATATGGGACAAACACTTTCCACATTTTGCATACCTATTTAGGCTTATCAAAACACCACATTTTGGAACTAATTTCTCATTCACTCGAAAACGGATTTGAAAAAGTAAATATACCATATTCATCTCCTTGAGGAGAGAAACGCGCTCATTTAGAGATCCGCAAGAAATTATTAGCGGAATTTATTCGAAACTTCATCTAAAATTTATGTTTTTAATGTCCCGTTTCCAACACATGTCACTTGAGGTATAGAGGGTTAAGTGACTTCTGTGTGTTGTATAAGATAAGCAACTTGTCAATTTATATAAATGCTTATGTTTTAATTATATGTGTGTGTGTGTGTTTGTGTGTGTGTGTGTGTGAGAGAGAGAGAGAGAGAGAGAGAGATATTTGCACCATAAATTTGTACCAACATTTCTATTAGCACAAGTGATATCAGGTATTCTTATTATTATTATTTTTTATTTTTTATATTTTATTTTTTAATGGCCAGCACTACACAGTCTACATCAACAACTTTGTGCCATGTTGACATGCTCCTGCTGTTGGGGCTGGGTCTTGGGCTGTTTTTTACCTTCAGTGGACTACACTTGTGTACAGTTTACATATATATCTATAAATCATTCAACTTTCAAAAAAAAAAAAAAACTTCCAACCCAGATAATTAAGCAAAGAAAATTGTCTACAGTTAGTACAAAAAAAAATTTCACTGCCTCAATACGTTTTGGGGCTTGAATTGTTAACCAAAATAAAATGTTCAGGTTAAATATATATTATGCAGATTCAACAACGCACAACACGTCACATCACCTATTGTTAATTTCACCATTTGTAATGATAAAATTCACCAATGTAGTGGTGAAAAATCAGCAATATAATTTGTGAAATTATGAGAGATGGAGACGTTATGGAGGAGTAACGGTTATATCTTTGACCTATTTTGGGCTGAGTTCTCCTGTGGGCTAATTGTTTGGGTTCTTAGCATATCCATGGACTATGTTTTTGTTTATACCTTTTATTTTGGGCCTAGGCCCTTTTGTTTTTTTTTTTTTTTGAACTTGCCCTCCTAAAGACATTGACTACTCATGAGATTTGATATTTAAAGATTTTTTATTTTTTATTTTTTCAATAAATTAATTAGTGGACTAAATTTTATAAAATGGTAATTTTATTATTTTTTTATGGACAACACTTTCCTATTCACCATTGAGTAGGTCCTACTCACCTGAGTCACTGCTGATGTGATCCAATTATAAATAAATAAATAGTGTGTAATTATTATATAAGGATAATAATTTTTTAAGAATAAATTTAGTCACCCTCTTTCATTTCTTTATTTATCACTGATTTTATAATTACAGACAATGTGTGTGGACCTCCCTCTTACTAGGAAAGTCTTATTTTTTTTCTATTTATAAAATACAATACAATATATAATCATAAATATGGTATTACTGACTCTTAACCACTCAAAGTCAATTCTGGTCGACTTTTGTCCAAACATCAGAAGAGGGTCTATCTGATTTACCCTAGAATTAAAGCCAATTCTTGCACTCTTAGTTCACCAATCTTAGAAACCTAATAGGACCATCTCGTTCTTACTGTATCAATCTATACTTGACCCAGTCCCTATCTAATACGAACTTTCACACTTAGATTTCTTGCTTGCCACGCAAGAAATCTTATGTAAAATATGAACTTTCACACCTAGATTTCTTGCTTGCTTGACACGCAATAAATATTATTTAATATGCCAACTTTCATTAAAAGACCAACTAAAAAATAAAAGTAACAAAAGGAATTTAGTTTCTGAATAGTAATCCAGGGCTTTCAATTTTCATTTTAACATCCTATCTAATTTCAACAAGAACTAACTAATAATTAATGTTTCTAGGATTTCTTTTTTCTATTTATATTCACGCCTAATTCTTTCCATTTATACATACACATATATATATATAATTTTTTATAAGGGGATATCATATATAGGAGCGTGTATTTTTTATTTATTTATTTATTTATTTTTTTATATATATATATATTTTTGGTAAGGGTATATGTGGTATATTTTTATGGTTGGGGGATTAACCGCCTTTACCAATAGGGTTTTCTTCAATATTACTTTAGTAGCACGCAAAGTGACCAAATATAACATATATATATATATATATGTATGTATGTAAATCCTACAGATTAGGAAAACATTGACCGCCTGTGCCGCGAGAGAGGAGACAGAGATCGAGTTAGAGAAAGAGAGAGATGGAGATGGAGATGGGCAATCTGTTTCCTGATCTCATACAAGCAATCCTTCTTCGCCTCCCCTTAACGCACCTCATTAGAGCAAAGCTTGTCTCAAAGACATGGTGCAACTTCATAACCCATCTCCGCCACTCCACGCCTCTCACCTCCTCCGCAGGCCTGGTCCTCTTCCTCAGACAAACCTCCATGAACCCAAACCTCCATGAATCAACCTTCATCACAGTCCAAGAACACAAGCCGCCAAAAACCCAACTCCGCGGCAACCTCAATCTCCCGACCTGCAAGCACGCCTTCCCTTATTTGATCGATTCATGCAACGGGCTGCTTCTCTACGCCGCCCACGACGGCCGTTACTGGACTTACTACATCTCCAGTCCGGTCTCCGATCGATGCATACCGCTCCCTCGCGCACACGAAATACACAGAACGGCTCGCGAGAGCATCTTATTTGATGGATCAGATTATCACTTCAAAGTTGTTTGTCACTTCCGGAGAGAAATTGATCACGAAGGTGGGAGAATTGGTTGCAAGATTTTCTCGTCCCGGACATGGCATTGGCGGGAAAAACAAGCAAGGATCATAAACTCTGGTGTTCTGCACCGCCATGACTTCAAGGAACATGATTGTTTTGGGCCTAGTGTTGGTAGCAAAGGAAAGCTGTTCTGGATTTGGAGCATATGCATGCTTGTTTATGAAGATGGGAGAGAAACTTTTAGGCTGATTGAATTACCAAAAACAGAGTATTCCTTACCTAGTGAACAACAAAAGAGCTTGTTTTCTAGGCTCTTGTGGGAATCGGAAGGGCTCGTGCACTATTGTGACCTGATTGACGAGGGATTTTATGTTTGGACATATGATGATGATGATTATGATTATGAAAGCATGGATTGTAGTTCGAGGTGGCGATTCAAGTGGCATGTTGTGTTGGACCAGCACCGAAAATCGAGATGGGGTGGGCTTCCATTAATCAGACCTTGCGCATTTAATGCAGACTTGCAGGTATTGTATCTGCAATTACGCCAATCCATTGTTGCCTATAGTTTTGAGACTCGAGAATGGGCAGAGGTTTGGAATTTTGGTAGACAAGGAGAAAAATACTTTATGTGCAACGTTTATCCTTTTCTATTCAACTCTGTTGATTTTTTACTTGTAAGAAATATTGATGAATAATTTGCAAGCAAAATGTTTGTGTACGTATATGACAATTAGAAGGATCAATTAGAAAATTTCAACTCAACCCCCAATCTGCACAGCATTAATTATTACTGTAATATTATCAAGTGTAACTTAATTTTGAATTGAATGAAACTCAATTAATTTAGAAAAATTAAGCAAGTTCAGGTTGATCCCTTAGATCCAACTAACCTACTTGAATGACACCCCATGGACATACTTGCAATTCCCTTTTCTGTTTGACACTTTTGTTGCGTTTGGGAGAACTGAAGGTGCCAATTCGGTGCTCCAAAACATGTATTTGCCTCGGACATAAAAACCACAATGTCTCCATGCTTGGAAGGGATTGCCTCGATCTATGGGAATTTCTGTAGCTGATTTACATGGGTTTTTTTATCAACTGTTTTGTGCCTTTGTTAGTTTGTTTGGTCCTTTAGTCAAGGGTATGCCCAAGACTATTTTCTTTATTTTGTGATCTTTGGCTGATCACTTCTTTTTCTGTACTTTATTGTTCATTTGTATCAATAAAATTATGACATTCAGGGGAAAAAAGGGTTTTCGAAGACTTGTCTCTTTTTCTTTTCTTTTTTTATAAGTGTATATGCTAATGGTTGCGCTCTACCTACTAGCGAATATTACATAATTGTTAAATTTGTTCAGTATAATATTTGTGTTACTTGAAAATTATCAGCATTGAATAATTTAGTTTAAGAAGAGTATTTAGAAATAGAAAAGAATTGCGTTTGTCCCCAAATGATTTTCAATTTATTGAACCCCTAATATAGAATTGATTAACTCATGGATTGTGACAATATCTGATGCTAGCTATTGCTTTTCTCTTGTTTCAAGTGCCTCTGATTCTTGCACTTTATTAGCAATTACGTACACAAGTCCATGTTATACAAAATTTACAAGTACTCCCGATATAGTGCAAGAGTTGACAGACAGGGTTGTGATCTCCGAAACAAGAAAATTAATTTATAATCACCCAGCGTTTGTAATCTGACGGTTAGGATAATGCATTGTGTTGATCAGCCAAAGTCTTCAGTTAAAGGCTTCAGCTCAAAAAACATTATTCATAAACAAAATTTTTACATGGATATAATATAATCAAGCCAAATTTTGTGTGCGCCTAAAGAGAAGAGACCAAGGACAAATGAATTGGTGCATTTGAGAGTGAAAGAGAGAGTCCTGTATCTTCAGCAACTATTTTCTTTCCCTTATCTTCACCTCCCCCTTTGTCCTCATTTGCATAGCTTATGATCCTCGCCAACGACGTCGAATTGTGACAATGATCACCAAACTGCATTTGCATTACAAGCTTCATTTCACCCTCCAAAAGCTTATTCTTAGCTGCCCATCTTTGTATCTTCCCTGAACTAGTCTTGGGAACACTTCCACTCTTAACAAGAAGGACCAATCCAACATCAACATTTTCTTCCTTCAAAACAGCTTTTCTTATTCCCTCACATACCTTCCTCAAAACCCTAATCTCTCCTCCAGTTCTCTGCAGCTCTGCAACAAGTAGTAAAGTTCTTGAAATCTCGAAAGCTGCAAGGCAACCTCCTCTTAGGAACTGTGGACAACTGTTATAGGCTGCAGTCTCTATATAATGAGGATGTGTTTCTTTCCCATTTTGGAGCTTAATAATGTCCGGACATCGGCCAATCACAAAAAGATACCTTTCTTCTCCTCTCACAATTCCCCTGTCACCGGTCCGGACAAAGCATCTGCTCACCTTGTTGTTGAGCCTCCCTTGGAACACCTCTCGAGTTAAAGAAGGGTGTCCGAGGTAGCCAGAGGCGTTGCTCGGAGATGAAACCCATATTTCTCCTTCAACCTCATCCTCCGCTGGCTCATGTGTGTCTTCATTCACCACAATAATATCCACATCGTCTTCTTCTTCTTCTTCACCTTTGCCAGTACCCGAACCAAGCCTTGCACTAGGCAAGAGCTTATTGTAACTTGGAAGACTGAAATTTTCGCCCTCTCTTCTCCAAGATGTAGAGACAAAGGTACAATTCTCTGCTAAGCCATAAGATGGAGAGATAGACAACGGGTTTAGCCCAAAAGGGCGAAACATGTCAACAAACTCATCAACCAATGCCTTGTAAATTGGCTCATTGATAATAATCAAATTCTTCATACTCCTTAGGCTAATTGGCTTGCTTCCTTTATCAACCCCACCTCGTTTCACAACAAGCGGCAAGGTGAATGATGGGACCGGAGTACAAGTCGCCTTGAACTCTGCAATGAGCTCAAGCCACAGCCTTGGCCGGTTTACGAACGCAGTAGGTGATGTCAACACACATGTTGCACCAGACACAATAGTCAGCAGCAAAAACATTAGGCCACAGTCATGGTACTGAGGCAACCAAGACACTATAACACTATTGGGATGAAGATCATAGGCCTTCCTCGCTGTCCTGACATTGTGAGCTGCCGAGCCAGCCCTCACAAGCACCGGCTTTGGGATCCCGGTGGCACCAGAGGTATACTGAATCAAGTACACGTCGTCCTGTTTGCAGCCATTATACGACGACAAACTCCATTTTGAGTACTCCACATTGTTGTTTTCTTTAAGATCATCACTAGATATCCATCTTAGCTTTTGTAACAACCCACATAGGGACACATTGTGGGCAGAGGAGGACGATACATATCGTCGAACACTTTTGATATAGCCACTGTTTGCTATGGCAGCTTTGGGCTTTGTCTGGGAGAGAACTCTAACAAGGTGGTGATGATTGTCTTGGGCAAAAGAAGGGTCAGGTGGGATGATGGGTACACACACAAGGCCAGCTCTTTGGCACCCAAAAATGAGCTCTACGAGCTCGAGCCCGGGTGAGCAGAGGATGACAACAGTGTCACCTCTCTGTAGAGGAAAAAGAAGCTGAGAAGAAATGTACTGGACCGAGTTGTTGAGCTGAGCATAGGTAAGCGTTGAGCATTTAGTGACAGTGGTTGAACCGTCCTCGGCCCAGACGAAAGCTGGCTTGGACTTGAAGGAGGGCAAGTTAGCCCATAGTGGGAGATACAAATCAACCACAGGTTGGTCCGGGAAATAAGGATCATAGTTCTCGTAGTTCATGCTTGTGTATGAGTGAAAATGTGATGACTAGTTCTTTGTGATTTTACATATAATGGTCCTAGATTACTATATATATACACACACAAATATATAGATTGATCAATAATTTCATTGGATGAAATGAACAAACAACACGAGATGAATAGAATACAGGTGTCTGATGTTGTCCTCAGAGAAAAATACCAAACTGTAATGATAGAAATTACAGATATTCATGAGAATATCCAAATATCCCACTTTAATTAATCATTAGCGTCAATGTTCATGATTTTTATGCTTATTTCGTGATCTTCAATGGGGATGTGATGGGAAAAAAATTAACTCTTATAAAAAAATGGTGTTTGATGACTATTTTGCAGCATATATTTTAGTATATACTCATAATATATACTCTCATCAGTCGCTTCGGTTAGCTTCAGTTATCGTTAAAAAGAGATCAGAGTCATCCAATGAAATTAATACTTTTCTCAACGTTTTAAAGAAGGACAAAGTGGTCATAGTCACATGTGTGTAATTATTCATACCCAATAGATTATATTAAAACTTACAGGACAGAGTCACAGAAACAACCTTGAGCATCTGGTAATTTGTAAATTCCAAATGGTGAAATTGGAATTGTGTTTTCACTTTTACAAATTAAAAGAAAAATGATTCATAATTATTAGAGTATTATATTTATTTGAAATACATTTACATATCCACTTTATTCTTACTTTCCAACTGTTTAAAAAAATATGTATTTAGAAAAATATATATACATATTTTTCTCGACAAACCAATTACAACAAGACTTACAAAAACACCAATAAATTTGAGAATGATTAGATTATGAGTTTATCCTAATTGATGAAATAATTAATTAAAATTAATGGGACATTCATTTGCTTTCATTTGTAAAAGAGGAAGTAAAGACGAAGGAAAAAGAGAATCAAGGTTCAAGTACCAAAATTGCATGGATAACACATATTGGAAGATCAATTGGGCAAAGTAACAGGAATAGCAATGATATTATAAGTTTTATTTTTTGGCTTTCATTATAAGTATTTTTTTACTTCAGAATGTGATAAAGTATCACTGAATTACACATTTTTAATGAGGATTTATAAATATATTGACTCATGTGAATATAGTTATTATAAAAACTTTACTATGACTTATTTAATCTTATTACACATTATATGAATTTTGTAGATCAAAAGGAGACTTATAAGTTTTCTTTTTCTTTTTTTCTTTTTTTTGACAAAAATAAAATATTATTAATTAGAAAAAACACGGTTAGAATTCAAAATATATATATTTCCAACATTACATGTCACGGGAGATTCACAATATTATCATCTACAAGATCAGGGGAAAAAACATGGACAGTCGTAGAATGGGCAACTTTAACGAACATTGGCACTTTAATGTCAGAACGACAAAGGACCATGCACTGCATGTAACTATGTAAGATTACTTGGTCCCTTTATCAATGGATTTAAGTCCAAAATTTCAATTTTATCATCAAAATTTTCAAGTGGTCAAACACTTCGAAACGACATAAAAGTATTTGTGTGTGATACACATGGCGAATTTTTAATAAAAAGTACACTATTTGTTTCAAAATAAGTGTCATGTTTTTTTTTATTTTTTTATTTGTACCAAAATTATAATTCACTTTCTTTTTTCAAATAATATATTTTACATCTTTCCATATATGTCTTTTGAATTTAAAATTTCAAACTTGAATATTCAAAACTTAAAATGACAAGTTAGTAATTTTCTGGACAGACAATGCATGTCTCACATGTTCCCTTAAAAAATATTACTCCCCATAAGCGACATTAAATTTGGACGGAAGGAGTATATTGGAGCAATTTGTACTGAATTTTGGAACACTCGTACATTTTTCACTGGCTCCCATGCTATATACAAAATGTACAAATTCCTCCGGTGTTTTAAAAAAAAATTCTATATTTTTTAAATTGAGCAAATAAGAACATTTTGTTAATTAAAAGGCTGAAACATCTAAAATGTTCTTAAGAAAAAATAAAAATAAAAACAATGCTTTCAGGACGAGAAAAAATAAAAATAAAAACAATGCTTTCAGGACGAGAGAGAGAGAGAGAGAGAGAGAGAGAGAGGTCACTAATTAAGGCTATGTTTGACATGCATGGAATCAGAGTTTTGTAATTGAAATTAGTGTAATTGAAGAAAAATAACTCATAAATTTATGCCGCAAAACACACCATCAAGGATATTTTGAAATTTTTATGAAGACAAAAAATTGGTCGAAATTGACCGCAGCATATATTGAGGGGCAATTTGCACATATATTTTAAATGTTAGAAATTTATATTCATACTAGTAAAATTGTATGTGTGTTTCATGTGAGTAAAATCTAATTTAAAATTAATATTTAACAAAGTAATTAAATAATTATAAATTCTAAAATATTCTTGAACAAAAAATTGACTAGCAAAAATTTATCAAAAAAAAAATTGACTAGCAAAAGAGATTTTGTATATATTTCCTTGTCTAATTAGAAAGACTAAATTATTTATTTTCTTTATATATTTCCTTATATAATTAGATTTCCTTTTTATTGAAAAAAAAACTCATAATAAATAGGTAATTTGAGTTTTATAAAAACTAGATAATTTGAGTTTTATAAAAACTCTTCTAAATATCTTATATTAATTTTAAAATAAAAATTCATAATAAATAGGTAATTTGTGTTATTCTAAAAGGAAACATACATCCAAATTTATTATTGAAAAATAATGTACTATTGCACGTTAGTAAAATCTAATTTAAAATCAATATTTAACAAAGTAACTAAATAATTATAAATTTTATAATATCCATTAACATAAAATTGACTCAAGGTAAAAGAGATAAAAATATAATTTTGAATTGAACTTTACCATAGGAATTGAATTATTGATGGTGTATTTTCAAACTCCTAAAGCAATATCAAAATCAAGACTATTTTTTATTTACTAATATTTTTTTATTTATATATTAGAAAATTATTTATATATTATTTATAAAATTAGAAAAAATGTGGAGACTAAATAGACTAAATTATTTATATTTTTTATATATTTTTTACATATTTTCTTTTGCTATGTTTGGTAGGAAGGAAAGAAGTGAGGTGGAAGGAAATAACAAATTTCCTTCGTTCGGTAAAGATAATATAAGGAAAGAAAGAATAATAGGAATGATAACTCATCCTTCCTCCTCCACAAATTTTCATCCCTCAAATATAGATGGAAGATAGGAGAAGACGAGTGAGCCTATTATAGAAGTTTTAAATTACTACATCACCCTTTATAAATATTTAATAAATCTTATAAATAAAATAAGGGATGGGTTTAATGGTAAAATCAACTTAAAAATTTATCTTTTCTTTTATCCTACCGATCAAATTAAATTGTCAGTTTTTTCTATTCTGTTCCATCCAACCGAACAAAAAAAGGAAACGCTTAATCTCTTCTTAGGGATGTCTCAGTTATCTTTTCTTCTCTCCCTTCGGTTCAGTTTTTTTTCCTTCCTACCGAAGGAGCATTATCTAATTAGATTTTCTTTTAGTAAAAAAACTCATAATAAATAGGTAATTTGAGTTTTATAGAAACTTTTCTAAACACCTTATATTAATTTTAAAATAAAAATGACTAATAAATAGGTAATTTGTGTTATTCTAAAAAGAAACAAATATATTGAACATATAAATTTATTATTAAAAAATAATGTACTGAAATACATTAATGTATTGAAACTATTTATACTTTTAATAATAGTATATGGATACTAAATAACAAGTTTAATTTTTTGTAATTTTTTATATTGCAGGTTTTTTTTTTTTGTTTTTTTACTTTACCCTAGAATTTACTAGTCGTAAAAGATTATTCTTTCATGGACTATTGTAATTGGGCTCTCACACAACAGAACCAAATGAAGCTTGTGACCTCATTGGGCCAGTACTGAACCACACGATCCAATTCTGTAGGTTTTCAAGACCCCAATGTAGTTGCACCTATTGCTGGTCCAGACTTGGGCTCAAGCTGTTGGGACAAGCAAACCTGAGGTTGATTAGGACTAAGTAGGCTTGGGCTCTAAATTTTTTTATGCCCAGTAATAGGTTCAGGCGTTTTTAGTAATTTCATGGGATCAACATTTGGACAAACATTGGACTTTATTCTCATTGGCCCAACGAGGTATTAGCCCAGATGTAACGCACCTGCTTCCACTATTTTTTGTTAGAATACTGAGTCGGGTTTTTCTCTTACCCCATCGAACAAAACATGCTGAGTCAAATTTATTTTTCTTTTGTTCCTACTGAATAGTGTTTGAGCCAAAAAAAATTTATGTAATTCCTACTTAATTTCGATCAAGAAAAAAGTACAGCTTTATAAAAGTATTTGAAATTGTTACACGGTCTGGGATCAATCACTAACTTTTCGAAAAGGGAACATACGGTATACATGCACAATGTCAGTATTTGATTATGTGTTGTAATCTCCATAGGAATATTGTTGCCCCTTTAGGGTTGGACGTTTCGTGATATTTAAAATTGTGGTGGACCCTACAAAATCAACGGAGAGAGAGAAAGGGAAAGGAGCTGCCGTACCTCACTTTTGTGGGGATGTTCTTCTATGGCCCACTTTTACTTTTCCCATTTTCTTTATAAACGTGAGGTTGTGCTGAATTTTAATCAACTATGTTCACACATAATAAAGTAGAAGTGGGCTCCACTATGTTTAAATGCAATTCCATGCATGTCACAACCCCTAAGAAACTATTTTCACACACAATAAAGTAGAGGTGGGCTCCACTATGTTTAAATTCAATTTCTTGCATATGTCACAACTCCTAAGAAACTATGTTCACACACAACATGGCAGAAGTGGGCTCCACTATGTTTCATGCATGTAAATGCAATTTCATGCACGTAACGAAAGTTGGAGATGCATACAGAAATGTGAGGCGGTGATTGTTGATGTGGAAGAATGGTGTTG